TTTCCCTTCGAAGGCGGAGCTTAAGCGATGCGCGACGAAATCGACGCAAACCGTTGCCGCCAAGAGAGTGTTTTAGCTGTATTGTATAAGCTGTGTTAAAACCATGTTGATTATTACCCAAAAAAGTACTAAAAAATAAAGAATGTTAAGTTTATGCAACTAACGCTAGTGCCGTCACATTTACACCATTTAGGGACCAACCAAAAAAACAATAAGCCCTTTCCGGGATATTCGCGAGGAGGAAAAAAGGCCTAGAGGGACCCTTTTAAACGTCCGTCATCGGGGATCGCTTCACGTTGACAAACAAGCGATTGAGAAGCGGAAAATCACGCGTCGTGCCCTAAAGGGATCGCCCTACGGGGGACCGCACTTTGTGCGTATCGGTGAAACGATTATGCAGGGTGCATATTATATGGGTTTCCAGTTTCGAGCGGGACAGGGTGAATGTGAATGTTTTCGTTTTCGTAAATTTGACAGATTTGTAACAAAGGTATATTCCAAGCTATTTATAGATCTTATCTTTGTGTTTACATATGCATCCACTCTTTTACGAATACGATAAACATGATGACAACTTTACGATTGTCTGGAACTGTTACTTTCAAATTTAGATATTTTGTCACGGGTCACCGGCGAAAAGTATTTCGATTTTGAATGTTTATGGATTTGCTGCGAAAGTCGTTTTCATTCCATGAGTTCTGCGTTGTCGAAATACATTATTTTCAACCTGACTGTGTTATTTTTAACATTTAAAAGAACCAACAGAAATTGAGGTAACGTTAGTAATGAAAAATTTTGTTTTTGTCTAAATTTTGAATAAAAATAGTTATTTTTGTATTAAGTGCGTAAAATGAGTGCTTTTTTTTAATGACACCGCAGGTCGAGGCCAAAAATTCTCTCGAAGGTGCCATGAAAACATGAATTTTATACACGAAATACAAACAACATTTTTTGTACAACTGTCAATGTGAATTTACATCGTCTGAAATATCTATCAATTGTAATTCTAATAAATGAAATTGTTCTATGATAAATAATCAATTAATAATTGTTAAAAATAAATTCTTCAAAAAGTAATATTTCACGTTTATTTTGTGAATTATTTTGGCAGTGAAAGTCTTTTTTCACGGTAAAAAAAAAAGACTTTTTTCAAGGTGAAAAAAAGTAAACATTTACGCATCAATAGAGATGCAGAAATGTCAAGTTTTTTTGACAGTTGTACAAAAAATATTTTATAGAGCGCTTTTGACCTTAAGTCATCATCACTTTCTCACTTTGCAATGCGTAACAATTCTTTATCCCACTAGAGGGCACTAAAATCAAAAGTAACGCTATGAATAGTCATACTGCTAAATTTTCCATCAAATTACCTCTTCAATGATGTGTCATACCTACATTTTTACTTCTGTTTATTTTTAAAAACATGGATGTTCAATCTATATAACTATCTATATCATTGACCCTATCAAACCACCAGGACCACAGTGTTGCCATATTATAACCTATCAGTGGCCTGTCATTTTAAACGGGCAGCCATTTTGTTTGGAATGCATAATTTAAATTATATTCAAGTGTCGGGAAGGAGAAGGTGAATGACGTGTGACAGTTGAAGATATGATTTAATTAAAAATTGATAAGTCCAAAAGATTGTCTAAAATGTTGGCGTAGTTTCTGATAATAGCTCTAATTCATTTTCTTCTGGCTACCCTGTATACAAGACATCTTGGAATGGTTAGGAGGTCAACGAAAAGCACTCGCAATATAAAAACAAACACGGACATCAATCATAAATGATCTAAAAACTGATACATAAAGAATTAAAATGCAGGATGATTTTATGATGATGCTAACTTCAAAAAGAAAGATCCCCTAAGGTCTAAGATGTAGGAAGGAAACTGCAATAATGCAATCGGTAATACTAAATAAAAAGAATGACCAAATGATTTGAATGTTGCTTTTTCCTTCCAATATCTTACCTATACTCTCTTACTTTCTTTTTTGTTTCATCTTCCTCTAAAACAAACCCTTTCATTTGCAAGTATTCAGTTCGAGTTTTATGTTAGACAAATCTGTCCCATCGGCTGTAGCATTAGAAAGAGTCAGACGCCTAGTAAATTAAGCGAAGCTGGTTTATGCAAGCACACGTTTTAGAGTGAATCCGCTCGTGCAACTACGATTCCTGTTTTACACCGTTGCCATACTGCAAAATAAACGGTATACTTTCCTGTAAATCACTTTCAGCTACACCAATAGTTGCAACCCCATAAAAAGACATTAAAGAGGTAATAATTGGCATTAAGTATGCAAATATACTTTCTTAATGTAATTTTGAAAGTATTTTCTTCGTTTTAGAGCCTTATATTTATCAATTTCGAATTATGATCAAGACTCACCCATAATAATTTGGCAACTACTTGAATAAAATTGGTCTAGTAGTTGTTCGACGTTGGAGTAAACTCAAAATAAGTAGGGATTACTCTCCAAAACTTAGTCTTGCGGATTGTACTCTAATCATCTAAGTGATTTTATCGAATTTCCATTGAAATTGACCTATTGAGTATTAAGGCACAAGTTATTGTTGTCTCGGTTGTCTCTTTCCAACGAAATTTTAATGTCTTCGTGAAACTTTTTGTATTGAAGTTGAAAAATAATTTATATAGTTTTTAGAGGGACTGACCGGACAAATATGCTTTTGGAGAACATCTTAGTTTTAATTAACATAACTAATTAAGTTTTTCTCGAGACGTTTGTTACATTATTCTGTAAACCAGTTAATAGTTCCAGTATAGATTTATATCTAAAAAAATAATAAATTGTTAGAATTGTTTTTTCTTCTCTTTTATGATGATGGCCCTATAGCCAAAACTTGTCATTTAGTTATCAGTAATGTTATTTCATGTGGAACCGATTTTGAATTTTATTGACTTAAATTTAAGATGGCCACTTTTTTTCATTTACTCTATTTCCAATTCCAACTGTTTTATTTCTTGAGTTTACTTATTTATGCATTTTATATTCCTTCATATATCATCTAGAACAATTTGACTTGAATGGGTCTTAAGTTAATATATCCGACTATTAACGTATGCCACAAATATTTAAAAAAAAATGTAATTCTTTATGTTAAATACATATAACGTATTTTATTTAAATGATCACTTTACCAACATTTTTACGTATATGTAAATTTTTTAAATCTTTAATTAAAATAGTGACATGGTCTTACTGGTATACAGTTTTTGTCAAACTCGTCCCATCATTTTTTAGACTCTGTTTATATCAATTTCTCTTATCTTTCATTATATTCTACGCCTTGTAGCTGGGCTTCAGTTTGAGCTTCCCACCCATTATCATATACTTTTCTGGTTAATAGTCCCCGAGTCTGTGGAACGTTTGGCGGACTCTAATCATTATGGTATAACGCCAACTTGCCAAATCTATCCAAAACATTATTACATCACGTGGATGAGTCGCATTAGTAAATTAAAGCATTTTCAGTAGAAATGTATTAGCCTAAACGTTAGCGTTAACTGCTTCACTCCTCACATGTCCAATAAAAGGTCCTACAAATCCACTATCTGATATAGCACAGAGAACTTTTTATCTTCAATTTGTTTCTAGCTTTGTATTCAACATTATCTGCATAATTCCCTACATTATCGGTGTAAAAACCATCATTGCCATTCATTTCTGAGAGAATGTAAAATATTTTTCGTCATCCATTATGATCACTTTATTTTTTGCAAAATGATTTCGACGTAACCTACGATAACAAATTGGGATTCTTCGTAACTGATCCTCTGTATAACATGGAAATTTACGTCTTTTACCGTACTTTAAGCCTTAAGAGAAGCATTAAATCTTCTGAATAACTTTTCATATGATGTTCCAACTAGGTATGTTGTATTGTCACAGATTCGGTTGGTGCAATTTTCTGTCAGCAACTTAGGACGTTCACTTTTTGCAACTATTCTGTAAATATTTTGATTGCGAAATTTTTTTTGAGTGTCTCGTTTAGGCACGTGTCCAACCACGTTGTAAATTCTTATTCGAATTGCAAGTATGTATGACATGACGGCAGAATATATTTGACATCTACGAAATGTCATGACCATTTTATGAATATTTTTTTACCATGTCGACTAAATTGCAAGTCATTTGCCTTTAGTTTCCCACAACTTATGCAAGTTACGTGTGGTTTTACTTTACTTTTCTTTATATATTTTCCCGGAATCACCAATAAACACAATTTGCTTTAACGGCGTCGCAGTCTGACATTAACAAAAGTTTTTTTTACCAAAATAATGACTCGACATCAATCCTAATCTGTCACAAAAACCCCCCATAGCAAATCCATCTTCGCAGGACCGTATAAATTTTGGCAAATTTGCGCAAAAGTGGGCATAAAACCATGCGTTAAATACGTCGAACGACATATATTAGGTACATCAGATTGCCTCAAAATCGAAATTGGGGGAACACGTGCTGCACCGAACAAAAGCGGCAAGGATGGTAGTTGCACAAACAGGTGATTATCCTTTTGTTCCAGGACAAATTACGGATTTGACGCGCGTTACAGTTCGTACGCAACTTGGAAGCCGTGACTAAAGTGCAGCAGCTGTGCTACCAATGCGCTCTCTGATCTAGTAAAACGACTACGACGACGATGAATGTTGTGTAGTGTTGTTTGTAGATAGAATAGTCGCAACACTCGTAACAACATCTCGGTGAATACGGTGACAGCGGCGCCCCTATTACAGGATTAAAAATTAATTTTATTGAAGTCGCAGAATGGCCGCATTAATTTTCCCTAGAGTTACTTAGGTCTCAACCAGGGAATTCTCTCACCACTCTTATTTCTCACTTCTTTCTTCTCTTTTTACTCTCTAAGATCTACATACGTTACAAGCCATTTAATTGCTTAATAATTGTATTTGCTTTTTCTCAAATACAATGTGTTTATAATTTTTCTTAACTCGTTTTCACTTTAATTTACTTACTTTCCATTGACTCATAACACTAATATCTAGCAGTCTCTTGATTTATTATTTCAAAAAGATTGTTCCGTTATTTAGAATTGTAAGAAGTTTTCTCGCCTCCGAGCAAATTGGACTTACTTGTGACGCCTTAGCCTCAGAAAATACTCGGGCGCCAGATTATTTAAAATAGTTGACTCTACAAGCTTTCGAAGAGGAGTCAAAAGGGCTCTCGTAACAACAGATGAAGATACGGAATATTCCAGGGGTCAAAATATTTTCCGGGTACTGTAATTAAATAAAATCTGGATTTATATACGGTTAAGTAACCGCATTAATAAACCAAGTAAATATAGGTAAAATTACCAGATTTATTTCTTACAAAACTACAAGAAAATTCAGATAAATCCCAACTACACCTAAAATCTTAGGTAACATCTGAACTCCCAGTAGTAGTTTGATGAGCAGCTTATTTAAACGAATCAAATGGGGCAGATATTATTAAAAACAAAATGAGTTTAGTACTAAATATAAAATAAAACCTCTAGATCCAAGGGAAACACCTGAATACCCGGTAGCAGTTCTATGAACGGCTACCGTGGGTCTGGATATTTCTTACTCAATTAAACAAGGTTGATGTCGGCAATTAATCCAAAATTAAAACACAACGGCGTTTAAAACCCCAGATAATACCCGGACTTCCAAAAATTGGGCAATGAGTCGCTCCTTCAAACGATTCAAATGGGACATGTATTATGTAAAAATACATTTATTTCAGAAATAAACCTACAATTCAAAAGGGTAAAAATATATCCGGGCACCCTGTATTGTTACAATACTTTTTTAATATAATTTTCATATAAACTTTTGGATATCATGTGCGCTGAGAGACATTTCCATTTAAAAGAAAAAAGTAGTAAAAATGAAGTGAAATGCAACATATAGATACCTCCCTACTTCATATTATACTATGTAGATATCTGTGGTACAATTTCATTTCGATATTAATTTTTACATGACTGCCATTGGTATGTAATTTTGAATATTTCCCTGGGCTTGTCTGTCGTTTTGAAGTTTTCCGCAATATTCGGAATACGTAGATATTATACCTACCGTTTCATTTCCAATTTCAATCTCATTTTGAACGTACCCTAATAAACAAACAACTGCAAGAGAAAAATATTTATTACGAACTAACTGTGCTATATACGGGGTAAATTCAAAACTTTTCATTTCTGGGACTCTTACTCTGTCCTGTTTATTCTTATAAAACATTTATCTGACTGAAAATTCATATGCAGATAATACTTTACTATAGTTTTCCTCCCCAAATGATAGACATAAATCAAAATATTTGCTCATTTATCGACCCGGCCAAAGACAACCGCTTAATTATGAATCCCAGTAAATCAAATGAATTTTTTAAATGGACTGTCAATAAATTATCAAACAAATCAACATTAAAATAGAATATGAAACTCATAATCTAGTTACCGAAGCTAGAAATCTCACGGTTTGAGAATTGCGATTTGGGAGACACTCCTTGAGACGCTTGAACGACGGCCGACATAATAAAGTTAGGGTAGGTAACTCGAAAACTGAAGAAAATTCGGATTTGTTTTGCAAAAATATAATCCATTTAAAAGTGTATATAACCCTAGAGAGACAAACTGGGAAAGGTGTTCAACATCATTTGGAGAGTATCTCGAAGAGGGTATGGAGGAAATAACAGGTGAACAAACCTTGACCGAGCAGTAGACCAAGTAAGTAAGGCCATTATAACCGCTTACGAGGAAAACTGTCCGGAGAAAACAAGGCAGCAAAGAACAAAAACAGTCTGGTGGAACAAACATTTGGAACGCCTTAGAGGTGAAGTTAGAAGGCTATTTAATAAAGCCAAGTCAACTGAAGATTGGGTCCTATATAGAGCTAAACTCATGCAGTACAACAAGAAGATAAGAAATGCTAAAAGGTAATCGTACAGAAAGTTCTGTGAGGAGTTATCTGAAACACCCACATGCTCTAGAATCCAAAAAGTCTTAGCTAAAGAGGGTACTGCTAATCGAGGTCGAATAAAATTAGATGGGCTACAAAGTTCAACCATACAAATGCCCAGGAGCAAAAGGAATATATCCCATTCTACTACAAAAGGGACAGGAAACTTTAATTCCACATATGTGTCGCATATTTAAAACATGTATAGCCTGGCGACATATACCAAAGGCGTGGCAAAAGGTGAGAGTCATATACCTTCCTAAAGTGGGAAGGTTTAATGATATGACACCAAAGTCGTACCCCCAATCAGTCTATCGTCATTCATGCTGAAAACACTAGCAAGACTAATAGATATATACGAGACGAAATACTGAGAGTAAATCTTCTCAGCGACCGTCAATATGCATATCAGTCAGGTAAGTCAACCGATTTGGACCTGAATGATCTCAACAGGCTATTGTCAAAATCTCTGGAGGATAAAGAAATGTAAGTAGCAACTTTCGTAGATATTAAGGGAGCTTTTAATAATGCCCAAACAAGATCTATAATTAACGTACTAGCAATGAAAGGGGTACCAGTAGGCCTAAGTCAGTAGATAAAAGCAAAAGAGGTATTACGACAGAAGGTAAATGGAAAAACCATTGTCATATACTCAGACAGTCAAGCGGCGCCGGCGTTAAAAGCTCTTAGATCTATGCAGTAATACTCAAAGCTTGTGTGGGACTATTTGGAAGCCCTAATAGAGCTGGCTATTCAAAACAGATTAACCTTAGCCTGGGTACCAAGCCACAGAGAGCAACGAAGAGGCTGATTTACTAGCCCGAGGAGTCTCAAAGGCTCTTATTGGCCCAGAACCCTTCTGTGGTGTCACAAAGAACACTATCAAAACACGCACAAAGCAGTGGATGTTTAGAAAATCTGAGAAGTGATGAAAAAACTCACCAGACTGGAGACAGGCCAAAGAGTTCTTAAAATGACCATCGTCTAAATTCACCGAGCATCTACTAAGCCCTAATAGGAAAAATACTAGAATACTAGTAGGTCTATTAATAGGGCGTTGTAGGCTTAACAAACATGTATAATATCGGTCTGACAGAAAAGACTTTGTTCCGATTCGGTCAAGAAGATGAGGAAACGGCAGAACACGTATTGTGCTACAGCGAAGGTCTACCACGACTGAGATTTCTTACAATTGGAGAAGAAAAACCAAGGCTATACCAGAGAACTACTGCCAAGTCTATGAAGTCTGCTATAAGAGACCGAATTAGACAAGGTAAAAAACCATTAAAATATATCCACAATAGAGCTGAAAAGGTCGAGGTGGGGGAGACCACATGGCTCACAGACCTAATTAAATCTAATCTAACACTTTGAAATTGTCAAATTAACGGTTACCATTAAACAAAACAAACAAAATCAGCTATTTTTTAGTAAAATTTAATAATTTTAAACGGATCCGAGATCAGCAGCATATTCTCTAAAACATGGCAGTTAGTGCAGCCAATCAAATCTTATAATTAACTGAAAAGTATTTCAATATTGCGTCGATTTTCTATCTGCTCTTATCTTATTTGGTTAATTATTAGAAGTATGTGAATTCTTCCCTTAAAATTTTTACTCCCTGATATTTAAGTATAGATAGGTACCCAGAGGGTTGTCACTAGACAATTAGCTTCTCCGGAAGAACAATGACACAAGTGCAAATTATTACTTTTTGTGTTGATTATGGTATAATTCCAAAGAAAATTACATTTCTCCCGTGGAAAAACGAAAATAGAATTATATTGCTTTCATATGATACTTTTTCTATTTGCGATTTTGCGGAATCATTCATTTTCACTTGCGTCATTGTTCTTCCGTAGAAGCGATATTATCTTTTAAATTGTAACAATCACGTCATTTACTTATAGCTCTATGGGAACCGAATGTAAACTTTTATTTAAAAAAAAATACTCCTTTAAAATTGTGACAGCCCAATTACTGTTTTCTCAACAAATAAATCCTCTCGACACATTCACGCGTGCCTTATTTCGTCCGTTACCCTTTTAGATTCTCCATATTTACTTTCGTAACCCATCAGAAACCCGTTCAACCGCTATCAAGTGACCTAATATTCGTACCTATGCGGTCTCTTCACCAACAAAACAACATTGCGGTTAAATAGCCCCATCCATGTTCGAGTTTTTTGAGCCAGAACCACTCGAGAGAGCGGTTCTAGGGGACTCCCGGCGAGGTATATAGACTTATTGAAATGATGTCTCTGTTGGTGTATTTTTCGTGACTTTTCTTGCGTGATATTGTAGCGGCATATGGGATATTGAATTTGGGTTTTTTGTTGTATTGTCCACGATGGGTAGGTAAATTAGAAATGGAATTTCATTTATATAAATTTTAACGATTTTAAAAAGTAGGAAATTGAACTATAAGTAAACACGGAAAAGACTTTTAATTAAAAATGGAAGATATATGATCGAGTTTTGTTCAAAAAATTAATTCTTATTATAAAATACTTTTAGCTATGCAGACGAAAGAGAATCCGAAAGTCTAATATAGTTTCATATATATTATATTCTTATTTTGCACATCAGCACCTCAGAGGTAAGGTGTGTTAAACAAAGATATATAACCAAGACAGGATTATTTACAAAATTTCTGAAGCCAACACTAAGCGTCTTCGGCAGAAACACAAACATCTGATTGAACACTGTAGCCAAGTTTACAGTGTTCTTAACTGTAGTAATGCAATCGTTCTCATAGGATATGTGAAATCTAAAAAGGCGGGTACAGATCTGAGCAGGTACGCGTATGAGGCAAGCCGAGGCCGAACCGAATGCCTCGTGCGGCGCATTTTGTACACACGAATGGTAGACGCACGAGGCACTGTTCGCTACTGATCCAGTGAATTCGCGAGCACGGAACCGTACACCCAGAACACTCGTAAAATTAAAACAAAAATAGAGTCTGGTAGAGTGCCTGTTTTATTATTTTGTCAGGGGTCTCCATAAAATATCTCGCTGATTATATACATCCAGAAGAAGCAAACC